AACACGAGCAGGCTTTCTAAAGGCTCTCTGCGGCTTCCCATATTGCCAGGTTTGGGGGACTTTTTTCATACCTGATTGCACCATTGAACTAATGCAATCGATTACCTTCCCGAATTACTTCTCAGTCCTTTAAGCAAAAGCATTACTTCCCCCATACTCAATATTTGTCTTGCCTGAAATGCCACATTTTTAAACAACTCCATGAGCCCCCCAATTCTCTTTCCTTATCTTAAAAAGGTAAAGGTTCCCTTGCTCGAAAGCCAGTCGAGTCTGACTCTAGGGTTGCGGTGCTCATCTCCGTTTCCAAGCCGAAGAGCCAGCGCTGTCCGAAGACATTTCCATGGTCATGTGGCCAGCATGACTAAACACCAAGGCGCACAGAATGCTGTTACCTTCCCACTGAAGTGGTACCTATTTATTTACTTGCAATTCCTTGCTTTCGAACTGCTAGGTTGGCAGGAGCTGGAACTAGAGATGGGAGCTCACTCCGTCATGCGGCACCCGGGTCTCGAACTGCTGAACTACCGACCTTTCACAGCCTGCAGTTCAGCGACTTAACCACTTGAGCCACCGCAGCTCCTTAACCTTATCTTAGGGTCATTTAAAATTAAAAGAAAGCCAATATACAACGAAGATAACAGTCAGTCATAGGCATTTGTCAAAGCCACTATCGGGAAAGGCTGAAGAGTATGGGACAGTTCGCTTTAGAAAAGAAATGTCTCTGTAATGCCTCCTTGCTCATATTTTATCACACCGTGTTTTTTATTGATATGCCATTAAAGGTATTTGACTTGATTTAAATAAGGGGGGACACGATAGAGGTTTATAAAATTACGCATGGGATGGAGAGAGTTGACAGAGAGAGGGGTTTTTTCTCCACTCACAAATTACTAGAACTCGAGGGCATCCAATGAAGCTGATGGGCAGTAGGCTGAGGACAAAAGGAAATACCACTTTACACAGGGAGTGGTTAAAATGTGGAATTCACTGCCAGAGGAAGTAGTGATGGCTGCCAGCATAGACAGTTTTAAAAGGGGATTAGACAGATTCATGGAGGATAAGTATATGAATGGCCACCAGCCATGGTAGCTGAAGGGAACCTCCTCATTCAGAGACACTAATTCTCTGAATCCCAGAGCCAGGAGGCAACAGCGGGGGGGGAGGCTCAGCTTCTATGCCCTGTCGTTGACTGTCCAGAGGAACTGGTTGGCCACTGTGGAAGACAGGATGGTGGACCAGATGGAGCACAGGTCTGATCCAGCAGGGCTCTTCTGATGCTCTTCTGAAGGCCTCAGCCTCTCTGCCCTGTGTTGGAGCTCCTGAGGAGTTGATTAGCTGCTGTGTGAGACAGGATGCTGGACTAGATGGACCACTGGTCTGATCCAGCAGGGCTATTCTGATATTCTAATGGAGGCCTCAGCCTCTAGGCCCTGTGGTTGGCCCTCCAGAGGAACTAGTTGGCCACTGTGTGAGGCAGGATGCTGGACTAGGTGGACCCTCACTGGTCTGAACCAGCAGGGCTCTTCTCATGTTCTTATGAAGGCCTTAGCCTCTGTGCCCTTTTGTTGGCCCTCCAGAGGAACTGGTTGGCCACTGTGTGAGGTAGGATGCTGGATTAGATGGACCACTGGTCTGATCCAGTAGGACTCTTCTGATGTTCTTATGGAGGCCTCAGCCTCTCTGCCCTGTTGTTGGTTGGCCTCTGTGTGAGACAGGATGCTGGACTAGATGGACCACTGGCTAGCTCCAGCAAGGCTCTTCTGATGTTCTTATGAAGACCTCGGCCTCTATGCCCTGTTGTTGGCTCTCTAGAGGAACCGGTTGGCCACTGTGTGAGACAGGATGCTGGACTAGATGGACCACTGGTCTGATCCAGCAGGGCTCTTCTGATGTTCTTAACAAGCAAAGACAGGAAAAGACATATTGCGTTGGGAAACCAATGACAAACAGAGGATACATGACTCTGTAAATTACATTTTATGGATGGATAAGAAGTGTGAACTTAATTTTGCCTTTCTGAGCCCTTAGTGAGGGGGTAAACCTGTGACATGAAATATACCACATTGGACTAGACATGGAGTCTTGAATGACCGAATGACACATTTTTATAAAAAAATCCCTACACTGAGAAAACTAGCACAACAGGGTAAAGTCGGTGCAAGAACCCTGATAAGTTTTTTTTTAATGTGGAGGACATTTGTTTTGTGCGTAGCAGGGCTCCACTGTGTGAGTCCCTTCCAGCAACTGAAAGCGATATGGTATAGACACGGATGTGCCGCCTCGCCCGATCATTGTAAAAACCGAGGCTCCAAGTTGCCCAGAGTTGGTTAACTTGACTGGCTACATAGCCAGATTTTTCTTCTCTTTGCTTTCTATTCATTTTGATTCCCAGGAAAGGAAAAAAAATACTATACCGAAGGGGCTCATTTTACTTCATAAAGTCATTTTGTCTCTCACAAATGTTAGGTGACATTAAAAGTTGATTTATACTTCCCGGCTTCCTTGAAGCAATTGCCTCAGTGAAGGTTTAGAGGAGAAGGTAGAATGTGGGAAACCCTTTTTCATTTGGGCAAACGTGCTTTTTGGGTATGAAAAATCTGTTGTCCACTTTGCCAGCTGGTAACATTTATTTATTTATTTAATTTACACTTGGACATCTTCTCTTGCAATACGCAGAGAGAGGATGACTCTTACCCCATAATTCATATATCCTAACTCTCTAAGATTATTCTATATGACACCTTTTAAACTTATTTTTATATTGCATTCTTTGTTTTATTCTCTGTATTAAAGGTAAAGGTTCCCTTGCTTGAAAGCCAGTCGAGTCCAACTCTAGGGTTGCCGTGCTCATCTCCATTTCAAAGCCGATGAGCCAGCGCTGTCCGAAGACGTTTCCATGGTCATGTGGCTGGCATGACTAAACACCAAGGCGTACGGAACGCTGTTACCTTCCCACCAAAGTGGTACCTATTTATCTACTTGCAATTTCTTGCTTTCGAACTGCTAGGTTGGCAGGAGATTCTCTGTATTATAAACTGGCAAAAGCCATTAAATATTTAATTTATTTTGTTTAAAATATTGATTAGCTGCCTTTCTACCTTAGAGGAACTCAAGGTGGCTTATTAAGACTAACAAAATTTGTGGCAGGGGATTCGCTTTCATGATTCACTGCTCACGTCTTCAGTATCTGAAGATGCGAGCAGTGACTCACGGAAGTTAAGAACATAAGAACATCAGAGAAGCCAATGTTGGATCAGGCCAATGGCCCATCCAGTCCAACACTTTGTGTCACACAGTGGCCAGAAATACCAGGTGCCATCAGGAGGTCCAGCAGTGGGGCCAGGACACTCAAAGAGTCGGATTCGACTGGCTTTCAAGCAAGGGAACCTTTACCTTTACCTTTTACTAGGTTTTTATATGTCTTTTTAATAAACATTCATTTGTACACATATTATGTTTTCAACTTTTGGTCCTCTGTTAGATTTCTAAACTTCTTTTGGAGGTTTGAGCTTTGTTTAGATTCCCCCCCCCTTTTTTTTTGGTGTCTCCAAGAGAGGCCTGTAGCTCAGTGGAAGAGTTCCTGCTTGGCATGCAGAAGGTCCCAGGTTCAATCCCCGGCATCTCCAGCTAAAAGGACCAGACAGCAGGTGATGGGAAAGACCTTAACCTGAGGCCCTGGCTCAGTGGGAGAGCCTCTGCTTGGCATGCCGAAGGTCCCAGGTTCAATCCCTGGCATCTTCAGCTAAAAGAACCAGGCAGGAGGTGATGGGAAAGACTTCAGCCTGAGACCCTGGGGAGCTGTAAGAGGGACCGTGGCTCAGTGGCAGAGCCTCTGCTTGGCATGCAGGAGGTCCCAGGTTCAATCCCCAGCATATCCAGTTAAAAGGACCAGGCAGGAGGTGATGGGAAAGACTTCAGCCTGAGACCCTGGGGAGCTGTAAGAGGGACCGTGGCTCAGTGGCAGAGCCTCTGCTTGGCATGCAGGAGGTCCCAGGTTCAATCCCCAGCATATCCAGTTAAAAGGACCAGGCAGGAGGTGATGGGAAAGACTTCAGCCTGAGACCCTGGGGAGCTGTAAGAGGGACCGTGGCTCAGTGGCAGAGCCTCTGCTTGGCATGCAGGAGGTCCCAGGTTCAATCCCCAGCATATCCAGTTAAAAGGACCAGGCAGGAGGTGATGGGAAAGACTTCAGCCTGAGACCCTGGGGAGCTGTAAGAGGGACCGTGGCTCAGTGGCAGAGCCTCTGCTTGGCATGCAGGAGGTCCCAGGTTCAATCCCTGGCATCTCCAGTTAAAAGGACCAGGCAGGAGGTGATGGGAAAGACTTCTGCCTGAGACCCTGGGGAGCTGCTTCCAATCTAAGTAGGCAATACTGACCTTGATGGACCAAGGGCCTGATTCAGTAGAAGGCAGCTTCATGTGCGGCTGTATGAAGTGTTGTTCTCGGTTATGGATATAACGCCGAACTAGGCATGCCAGTGCTATGACTCTGCATGCGGCGGCTTCTTGTGTTCAGCTCTCCCCATGATCGTGCTAACTTTAACACTAAAGACTACCACATCTTTTGGGGCACGGAAACGGGCAAGGAGTCTCTCCAAACGTGATGACGTGCACTGAAGCCTGCCGTGCGCCGTTGTGCGCAGCAGCTGGGGGCCGTCACGAGCGGCAGAAATATTTTGTCACACAGTCGATGGTGCTCTTGCCAAGAGCCTGCCTGCTCCAGAATCTACGCAGCACGGAGCCCGAAATCGGCATCCTTTTGAAAGCCAGAGAGTGGCTCCAAATATCGCGAAGGACGCCTCCATGGAAACCAACACCGAAATTAGCAAACGCGGGAACCCGCGCGATGATGCGCACGGCATTGGCGGTGGTTGCTAGGGACATGTTGACAGGCATCTGTTGCAACAGAGACAGACACCTCCCCTGTGCAATGCCACACTTTCTTCTCCTTCCTTGGGAGACAGACACCCACACACTCGACAGGCCCCATCAGCCCAGCTGTCAATATTTGCTAACACGTTCCACCACAGATGCCCTCTCGGCGACTTTGAACCAGCTCTGTGCTGCTGTTCAACACCCAGGAAGGAAGAGGGGGAAACGTGCTGTGCAAAATCCCCCATCATAATGTGGTGTAATTGGTAGAGTGTCAGACCAGGATCTGGGAGACCCAGGTTCGATTTCCCATTCTGGCCACGGAAGCTTGCTGGGTGACCTTGGGCCAGTCACACATGCTCTCAGCTGCTTTGGGTCCCCTCTGGGGAGTGTAGCGAGGTATAAATGGAGAAGGAGGAGGAAGAGAGGGAAAAGGAAGAGGAGGAGGAGGAAGAAGAGGAGGAGGAGGAAGAAAAGGAGAAGGAAGAGGAGGAGGAGGAAGAGGAGGAGGTGGATGAAGAAGAAAAGGAGGAGGAGGTGGATGAAGAAGAAAAGGAGGAGGAGGAAGAGGAAGAAAAGGAGGAAGAGGAAGAAAAGGAGGAAGAAAAAGAAGAGGAGAAGGAAGAAGGGGGAAAAAGGAGGAGGAGGAAGAGGAAGAAGAGGAGGATGAAGAAGAAAAGGAGGAGAAGTGGAAGAAGAGAAGGAGGAAGAAGAAAAGGAGGTAGAGGAAGAAAAGTAGGAAGAAGAGGAAGAAGAGGAGGAGGAAGAGGAAGAAGAAGAAGAAAAGGAGGAGGAAGAGGAGGAGGAGGAAAAAAAGAAGAAAAGGAGGAAGAGAAGGAGAAAGAAGAGGAAGAAGAGGAAGAAGAAGAGATTGGATTTATACCCCTCCCTTCACTACCCAAGGGAGTCTCAGAGCAGCTTACAAACTCCTTTCCCTTCCCCTCCCCACAACAGACACCCTGTGAGGCAGGTGGGGCTGAGAGAACTCTGACAGAAACTGCTTTTCCCGGCCAAGAACTGCTGTGCTAGAACTGTGGCTTGCCCATGGTCATCCAGCAGGTGCAAGTGGAGTGGGGAATCAAACCTGGTTCTCCCAGATTAGTGTCCGCACACTTAACCACTACACAGAAGAGGAGGAGGAGGAGGAGGAGATTGGATTTATCCCCTGCCCTTCACTCTGAGTCTCAGGGCGGCTTACAAACTCCTTTCCTTTTGCCTCCCCTCAACAGACACCATGTGAGGTAGGCGGGGCTGAGAGAGCTCTTTTTGAGGATTGCTCGTTTGAGAACAACTCTGAGAGAACTTGTGACTGACCCAAGGTCACCCAGCTGGCTGCATGTGGAGGACTGGTGTCTCAAACCCGGTTCTCCCAGATTAGAGTCCATGCCTTTAACCACTACACCAAACTGCAGGAGGAGGAGGAAGAAAAGAAGGAAAAGGTGAAGGAGGAGAAGGCGAAGAGGAGGAAGAGGAATAGTAGTTGGTTTTTATACCCTGCTTTTCTCTACCTTAAAGAGTCTCCGTGGCTTACAATCACCTTTCCCTTCCTCTCCCCCCAACAGGCACCTTGTGAGGCAGGTGGGGCTGAGAGAGTTCTGAGAGAACAGTGACTGGCCCATGGTCACGCAGCAAGCTTCATGCAGAGGAGTGGGGAACCAAACCCGGTTCTCCAGAATAAGGTCTGCCACTCTTAAGCACTACACCACGCTAGCCATGTGTGTGTATAAAGTGCTGCCAAGTCGCAACTGACTTCTGGAGACCCCAGTGAGGGGATTTCGAGGCAAGGGAGAAGCAGAGGTGGTTGGCCATGGCCTTCCTCTGCACAACCTTCCTGGGTGGTCTCCCTTCCGAGTACTGACAACAAGGGGCTTTCGAGGCAAGTGAGAAGGAGAGGTGCTTGGCCATTGCCTTCCTCTACAGAGCCTTCCTTGGTGGTCTCCCTTCCAAGTACCAACCCTGCTTAGCTTCCAACTTATGGTGACCCTGGCAAGAGGTTTTCAAAGCAAGTGAGAAGCAGAGGTCGCCATTGCCTTCCTCTGCAGAGCCTTCCTTGGTGGTCTCCCTTCCAAGACTTATGGTGATCCCAGCAAGGGGCTTTCAAGGCAAGTGAGAAGCAGAGGTGGTTGGCCATGGCCTTTCTCTGCAGAGCCTTCCTTGGTGGTCTCCCATCCAAGTACCGACCCTGCTTAGCCTCTGAGCTCTGACAAGATCGGGCTCTGCCATGCCACCTAACCTCCCAATACATAGAGGGAAGAGAGAGGATTACGTCCCAGGGAAGACTATGGTTACTCAGCTATGGCTAGGGTTCCCAGGTCCTCCCTAGCTACTGGCAGGGGGTGGGGGTGGTAGGATCGCCAGATCCAGGTTAAGTAACTCCTGGAGATTTGGGGGTGGAGCCTGGAGAGGGCAGGGACCTCAGTGGGGCACAATGCCGCAGAGCCCACCCTCCAAAGCATCCATCTTCTCCAGGGGAACTGATCTCTGGAGATGAGCTGTAATTCTGGGGGATCCCCAGGTCCCACCTGGAGGATGGCATCCCTAAGAGGCACCTTCAGAGAGCCAGTTTGGAGTGGTGATTAAGTGCACGGACTCTAATCTGGGAGAACCGGGTTTGATTCCCCACTCCTCCACATGCAGCTGCTGGTGTGACCTTGGGTCAGTCACAAGTTCTCTCAGAGCTGTTCTCCCAAGAGCAGTCCTCCAGAGAGCTCTCTTAGCACCACCTACTTCACAGGGTGTCTGTTGTGGGGAGGGGAAGGGAAAGGAGTCTGTAAACTGCTCTGAGACTCTGAGTGAAGGGCAGGGTATAAATCCAATTTCTTCTTCTTCTTCTTCTTCTTCTTCTTCTTCTTCTTCTTCTTCTTCTTCTTCTTCTTCTTCTTCCTCCTCCTCCTCCTCCTCCTCCTGACATTTATCCATCCTAAATGGATTTTTAAAGATAGACTTCACCAAATTCCTGAATTGCCTTTTGGAACTGGTTTAGGATTGATTTTTTTAAAAAAAATGCATTAGCACTCCCCACTCCTGGGTTGTCACTAATGCTTCCTCTAAGCTGTGGAGTTTTGTAAGCAAAAATTCTACTTTGTGGGCGATTGGCATAAAAGTTGTGAGCAAGTGATTTGGCTGCTGCATAAATTTGTTTGCCCCGGAGCCATCCTTCCTGAGCTGAGACAAAAAAAGGTGTGAACCAGAGGCTAAAAAACTGTGAGCTGGCTCACACTAATTCAGCTTAGAGGGAACACTGGTTGACACCCATGTAAATCTTCAGCACATTTTTCGGAGCCGGGAGCAATGCTCCCTCTAAGCTGTGGAGTCCTGTGAGCAAAATTTCTACTCTATGAGCCCCTGGCATTAAAGTTGTGAGTGGGTGATTAGGCTACTGCATAAACCAGTTTGCTCTGGAGCCCTCCTTCCTGACCTAAGGCAAAAATCTGTGCGCCGGAGGCTAAAAATCTGTGAGCTAGCTCACACTAACTCAGCTTAGAGGGAACACTGGTTGGGAGTTATGGCTCGGGAAAAGCCCCCCCTCCACCATCTCAAGGGTGCCCCCTGTGCCCCAAGTTACCCATCTTTCCAGGTGCGTCTCTCTGCCCTTGCTGCATTCGAAGTCAAAGACGGATTTCCAAAGCATCTTCATAAATCAAATGAGCAGAGTTAGTGCAGGCTTAATATGACTTGACTGGATTAATAAATTACGGCCGCCTGGCTTTCCTTTGCCGATTGCTTTCCATAATGAGAATATATCACTGTAATCGCCCGGCCTCGCCAAGAGGTCAGCAACATTTGTTCCGGTGCCAAGTCATTAACTCCTTGTGGCCCTGAGCACCGCTCTGGCTATGTTTATGACAGATGATGGGGGGTTTCAGATACCAAAGATGACAGCGATGGCTGCCGTGCAGGTTCGAAACATTTAATGGCTATTGACAGTCAAATAGGGGTGGGGGGTGGGGGAGAGAATCTATGGCTGAGAAAGTGCAACTAAGGGAGAATGACTCATAGCAACATCGAAAGATGGGGTTGGAAGGGACCTCAAAGGTCATCTAGTCCAACCCCCGGGCAATGCAGGAAATTCACAACTACCTCACCTATACTCCCCCAGTTATCCTTGCTCTATGGAGGAAGGGGAGGGAAAGTCCCTCCTATGGTAGATAACTCTGGGCAGCTCTGTATGTGACTGTAAGCTGTAAACTGACATCCAGTGCAGTGTACTGCTTAGGTCTGAGTTCGGATTCAGGAGGCCAGGTCTTTTTGGCCTGATGGGCAACAGGAGAAAATGGGGGGGGGGGCTGAAAGGACATCCCACAACACTGTAACCCCCAATTTGGACTGCACAGCCAGAAGTGACATTGTTATGTCACAAGATGCTCTAGGATTCCGCTGAAACTCTATGGTTTCTACCATAGAATGTTGGAAGAATCGTAGAGCGCCATGTTCTCAGATATAGAATTATCTACTTGTTAAAATTCCAGCTGCCTGAAATTACTGATATTCTGAGAGAAAGTGGCCAGATGTATCATGCTTACACATTTCAGAAGAGTGGTAGCATTAGGCTCTTGCTAGAGATGGGAGGAGGAGGAGGATAAGAAGAAGAAGACTGGATTTATACCCCGCCCTTCACTTGGAGTCTCAGAGTGGCTTACACACTCTTTTCCCTTCCCCTCCCCACAACAGACACCCTGTGAGGTAGGTGGGGCCGAGAGAGCTCTTTCGAGAACTGCCCTTTCAAGGACAGCTGTGCCAGAACTATGGCTTGCCCAAGGTCATCCAGCAGCTGCAAGTGGAGGAGTGGGGGAATCAAACCCGGTTCTCCCAGATTAGAGTCCGCGCACTTAACCACTACACCAAACTGGCTCTCTCTCCCCAATTTGCCTCTGGCTGAATCTAAACAATCCAGGATCTCATCTGATCAATCACTAATAGCTCATGTTCACTACAAGTAGTCATACTCTTTGGAGTTCTCCCTTTCTCTCCTGATGGCCCCGGGTCTTTTCGGCCACTGAGTGACACAGAGTATCGGACTGGATGGCCCATTGGCCTGATCCAACATTGGCTTCTCTTATGTTTTTATGTTCATCTTCCGCCACCCTTCCTTCAGCCAGATCCCATGAACGTATACTCAAAAATAAGTCCCACTGAAAGCCAGGCGGTTCCAGGATCTGGTAGACCCGGATTCCAATGCCCATTTTGCTATGAA